GGGAAAGAGGGTAGGATTCTGCTGACAAAACAGGAGAAATGACAATGGACAAAAGAGAAGTTCCCGAAAGATGTCTATTAAGGGAAAGTGGTGATGGAGGGAAACTGCATATGATAAGAATATTATAAACGATGTTTCATTTCATCTTCGAAAGAACCCTCGAAGTCAATATTATTCCCACTTCATAAGTATATCGATATTAGATCATTTGTCTCAGACTGCAGAGCTGGTTGTAGAGAGTTGGGACTTGAACCCAGAGTTGTTCTGCACCAAAGTCCACAGTCTTTCCACAATACCACAGTTGGAAACTTGAGAAAAACTCACATTTCATACTTGAATTTTGATCCCCTAAGAGTAAGACCACCCTTAGCAGATGCATACCCGACTGGGTACCTGACTGGCTAGACAAAAAATAAAATGACCTGGGAACAAAAGAACTCAGTGAAGACTAACACTATAAGCTCCCTTAACATGTAACAGCAAACGTCTGAAACTTCAAAAAGTGTGTGGAAAAATAATTAAGTGTACATTCAGTATAGAACAAAAAAATATTCTGAAATCCAGGCATAATTTTTTCCTAATACACATATCCATGAACTCTTTGAAGACCCCTTTAGATGGTAACTCTTCAAGCACCTTTTGAATTCTAAGTATAGTGAAGTGTCCTACTCTGGGAGAGTAGTGGTATCTTTATGCCGTCAGGAAAACAGTGTTAACAGAAAGTCAAAAAGAAACAAGGAAGAGTTCGTCTGTGCATTGGGAAAGCAGACCCTTTTCTCAATGTTCTGTTCTTGCTTTTAAATAACCACATCTTTGCTAGTTTTCTTCCTTTCCCTGCTCTTGATAAGGAGATCAGTGACAGAGGAAAAGAGCCGATAAGTGAGGGGAGATGTTGCGGATGTAGTTAGGTGGAGACACACTCCTCTCTCCTACTCTATTGACTCCATTGTCTTTTGTTCTTGTCCAAATAGATGTAGACACACCAAAAGGAGTACTGGATATAAAGATAATGTTGGAAGTTGCATCAGAATAGATGCTGCAGAAAATGTCTGTCAAACAGGTCTTATTGCTGCTCCCAGGATCTCTTCGTTGTGAAGGAGGGTAGTCGTTAAAGGGAAGAGTTAATTGTACATTATACTAAAGCTTTTGTGTTTGTTCATGATTAGCAGGGACAGCCATATCAGTCCTTTAATGGAATGCTGCTTTTCCAATATTTGAAACAAACTACTGATTCTAATTACTAATACAATTTTTATTCTAATAAAATTCTACAATATTTCAAAGTAGAGCCTCTTTCCAATGAAAGACTTCAGGCTAATAATATGCATATCTATTATATCAGTGAGTTGGCGTGATGTCACCCATGCAACTCATAGAAACTCAAAACATGTGTTAAGTCAAAAAGGAAAGAAGACAGGGGAGGGAA